CCGATCAGCTGAGAGTTTGGAAAACCTAATAACCGATTAATGTTTAAAGTTCTTTGGATTCGATGAAATACGGAATGATTTTTAATGAATTGTTTAAAGAAATGGGACTTTATCAAGGATTGTATAGGAATATTGTCCATTATCTTGATCATGTATGTACGCCAAGCCGTGTACGTGAAAGTATTGGTGCAATTAATAAATTATATGAGTTGAAATGCTATATATGTAAAGAAGTGAATGAAATAATATTAGTCATTGTCTTGATCATGTATGTACGCGAGCCGTGTACGTGAAAGAAATGACACAAATATTGAATGAATATGTAGCAAAAATGCTGAGAAGTAAAATGAAAAATAAATAATTGTTAAACAAGAATTAAGTAAATATATGAAGTAAAAAAGGGAACAAAGAGAGGTATTGAAGTGTGAAAAGAAATATGAAAATGAAATGAGTACTATGTATTATTAAATGTCCTAACTAGATGACTTGTCTTGATGATTAAGGATACGAATAAAAAATAACATAAATGTTTGCGAAAATCAAAACATAATAATACTATATTCTATTATGTTATACATAATTATGCCTGACTATGTCATATACTTCTGTGAATACGCGATTTTTTCTAGCGAGAGAGCGTTGCCAAACGCCCTGCTCAATCTCGGTATACATTAAATTGTAGTTTTTATAACACTTAGACTTAATTTACACTATATTTAAATTAAGATTATTCATCAATTATGTTTAGAATAGTTTTGAGGTTAGATAAAAAATAAATAAAATTATTTTTATTTTTTTTGTCGGTGGGAGGTGTAGTGTAGTATAGCCCCACGACTATATATATTAGTGTTAAGGTAGAATAAGGACAGTCTAATTAAAGTTATAGAAGCAGCAACACGTCTCTATTTCATTGACACACTTCCTATATTACAAGAGCATGACGTTGCATTTCGAACTGCCTGATATTACATTTATATAAGCACTAGCGACCTGCTGCGGTTTTGCAAGGATAGGATCTATTAATGTAACGCTATTTCGATTTAAATACTTAAAGGACAGTTATTTAATAAATTGCCTCACCAAAAAATTTCAAGGGTTTCGGATAAAATATCCTGGTCCCTCCTGGCATTACTCTACATGGCCATTCCAAAGATTAGCCCGGACAGACGAACAGATTTTTCAAATGGTTAAAAAGGTCATATTAGCATGCATTTTAGCATTTATATAATAAACATAATAATTAAGTTGTGAATTCTCATGTTCATCATCATCAAAGTTGTATTTAAAGAAGAAGTTTGCATTTTCCATCTGAAGCCTTTTTATTAGGTTTTTCTTTTAATTTTTGGCAAGTACATTTAAGTATATTTTGGAATATAATATTAAAAAGTAATCACTGGTGCTAAGCTTTACATAATTTTTATGGAGTAGGTGGAAATCAAAAAATTTGATGAAACTTGTCATCTAGCAAAACCAATGTAATAGTGGGGGTGCTCCATTATTTGATCACAGACTTCCTACATTGTTATCATTAAAATTATCAAAAGGCTCTCAACCACAGAAATACTATAGTTTTAACTGTTACTGTTCAAAAAGAAAACAAAACATTTGGATGAAGATCATTTCCAAAACAAAAAGTAATAAGATAATTTCTAAAGTACTTATGCTTGCAATAGATAAAAAATTAAAAACTTACGCTTGTACCTCTCATACTTTCCACAAAAAAACGAAATAATAGATTAAATTGCTTTCACCAAAATTATCTTTCCACGACTTTGGTTTTGTCCGAATTTTATAGGGTTCAGTCTGATTTTATATGAAAAGTGACTTGAAGTTTTATGATAAAGGGTAATGAATTTTTTTAAGATGAAAGTTTTTTATGGCTCTTGTTCAGGTCAGATATAAAAGTTCCTTGATTTTTTATTCCAAATAAATGTATCCTATCAGAAGTTTTTCATCCCTGAAGACAAAATTAAATATCATGTTACCAGTACCAGTGCAAAATTGGTCTAGGATTTAATGGTCCCATTGTTTATGACTTCATAACAAAAAAAGAATATGCCAACTGTGTTACTTGTCTAAAATATTATGAAAGGTAACAAATGGGATATTGAGTTTGTGACTTCTCTCTCGAATTTCCGTGTAACTCGCTGCTTTTAGGAATTTGCCTCTCTTGGGTATTACAGACGTAACGTTATGTAGATGTATATTGTTACCATCAAAAAGAGCTTTGTTCTCATTTTTCTGCCACACATACTGTGTCGTGAAGCGACAATTAAAAAAAATAGAACCTAACCTAAGTACAACAAAACAACAAAAGTAGAGCCAGAAAACAATATATTAAAATTTTTAAAAGGTATTTACAATTTTATAAAAAATATGAAATGAGGATGATGATGAATGAAGTGAGAGTACAATTAGATTACAAAAAAAATAAAGGTAGGAGAATAGGGGAATATAGAGTTGTAGTGGAGCCTAAAAGTCGAAGCGACACACGTTGCGATTGTAGAGGTAGGTTTCTTAGCAGCGACGGCACGCAGCGCCTGAAGCCAGCACACGCCGGTTGCGCTTGTAGAGGTAGGTTTCTTAGCAGTGACGGCGCACAGCGCCTGGAGTCAACACACGCAGCGTCCGGAGCCGGCGCACGTAGCGCCTGGAGAAGGGGCGCTCAACGCTTAGAGCCAGCAGTTGCAGCGCCCAAAGGTAGCGCCGGCGGTAGGTGCACTCGGCGCCTGGAATAAGCAGTCGTAGCGCCCGGAGTAGTGTGGCCCCCGCGCTTGAAGTAGACTGCCGACGACTTCCGAGGTAGATGGAGGCTTGTAGGATTCCGGAGTGGTGCGGCTCCGCGCTTGAAGAAGGCTTCGCCGAAGACTTCACGTGTAGGTGGAGGCTTGCAGGATCCCGGGGCAGTGCGGCCCCGGGATAAGGCCTTTAGGAGATACTTCCAATTCGCGAACTGAAGCGAGACTGCCTTTCTTCACCGATTGTTCGGCTTTTATACCTTTCTAGAGAGAACGGAAAAATTATTTAAATTAAACGCAAATTTTTTGTAAATGGTCAAGAGAAAAGAGTATTTATGTGGAATTATCGAAATAGGAACAACAGATCGGTAGTAAATTTGAATATAATTACTATGGAAACGAAATAAATAGCAATGTCAAAACATGTCAAATTTTGGTTTTAGGTTTATAATAAGAAAACGGTAAGATTTAAGTGGAAAATGAGATATTATTGATATAGGAAAAAAGGTAGCGCAGCTGCCCACACAAAGCCCGAGATTGTAGAGTTACGGAAAACTAGCTAAAAGATCGAAAAAAGGTAGACTCCATTGACACCAATTTAAAAGTGCTGATAATGTGAAAATACGAAGTAGAAATGATTTGTTATTGTGTTCTTATGGTTTAAAATCGTTACAGGATCCTATGGAAATAAAGGTGATGTAAAATATCCAGTTTTGAGGTGAATGCAGAAAATCGAAACAGAATGGAAAAATGAATTTAAAATAATGTAAAATGATATGTAAGTAGCATAACACTACATTTTCCCCCCGACCCTGGAAAATTTTTGACTCAGCAAAAATTTTGATATATACATTCTAAAATAAACCATAAAAACACAGCTTTGCAGAAACAGACATCACCAGGCAAAATCAGATATACTATCTCTTACATTCATCATCTGCCATTCAGGTAAGGGTGGAGTTCACATTCAATGACTACCACTCTAAAAGTGTGTTTTCAAAACGACATTAAGGCTTATTTAAGGAGTAGTCATCCGCTCCTGTGTGGAAAAAAAAATATTAAGGGAGTAGTCACCACTCTAAAAGTGTGTTTTCGACAGGACATTCAGGCTTATTTAAGGAGTTGTCATCCGCTCCCAAGTGAAGATAAAGATAAAGAAATCAATCTTAAGCAAGCTTTAGTCGCTATGACTTAAGTAAAGATAAAGAACGGCCAGAGCGGTAGGGCTCAAAGCCAGAGATCAGCAACATCACTAGCGAGATGTGTCTGAAATAATAATAAAAAGTGAAGATTAACCTACCAAACAAACAAACAAATTAAAAGAAATAATAACAAGGTGAAAATGATGGTGATATTTATACATATATACAAATTAAATGTGATATTTATACATATATACAAAAGATTGAGGTGGTGGTGAAGGATACGGAAGTTTGAGAAACAAGAGGAAGTTCCATGACAGTCGGGTCAACAGGAGGGTCAAGTGATGGAGAGTCATTTTCAGTTGAAGGTGGAGTCAAGGATTCGAATTGTTTAGTAATAGCGTCAAATTTGTAAAGTTAAGTTTAAGAAATAAAAATTTTATTAAAAAATTATACCTCTTTAAGTTACCTAGAATAAAAATATTAAAGTGATGAATGTAAGTGAAGTGTTGAATGTAGGTCTAAATATAATCTAGATAAGTTGAAACACTAGATGAAGTGTTGTTTTAGAATTTGGAAGATTATCTACAATAAAATTATTAAAGTGATGAATGTAAGTGTTAAATGTAGGTCTAAATATAATCCAGATAAGTTGAAACACTAGATGAAGTGTTGATTTAGAATTTGGAAAGTTATCTACAATAAAAATATTAAAGTGATGAATGTAAGTGTTAAATGTAGGTCTAAATATAATCCAGATAAGTTGAAACACTAGATGAAGTGTTGTTTTAGAATTTGGAAGGTATGAAAAGGATGAATAAATGAATGATGAATAATGAGTTAAGAACGAAAGGGAGAGCAATTAAATCAAAAGGGAATGGACAAGGCGCAGTAAAGGTGAAGAATTAAGAGAGAAAGAGGACTTTTACGTTGGGCGCCAAATGTCGTGAAGCGACAATTAAAAAAAATAGAACCTAACCTAAGTGTTAATGAAGAAACCACATTTGTAATTAAAAAAGTTTTAGTTCTACTTCGATAGATGGCGTTGACATAGAAATAGATTGCACTATGGTTGCGTTACTCAGTGTGTAATAAGGCCATTTAAATTATTGTATATAATAATAAACCAGCTCAGATCATACATTGTTGTAGTTTGATTTATATATTATCAACTCTTCAAGTGTATCAATAGGACAAACAGTACAACTAGCTTCATTAGTAAACATTGGTCCATCGACCCCGGATATCAGACCCGGAATAGTCTGAATTTTTTGTTAGTTTGCGGTGCCAGCTTTGGGCCGCACCCCGTAGTACTCGCAGTGGATCGCTGCGGCAAGAGTACCGGGCACCTCGCAGAGGCAGCAACAGCTTGGCCCAGCAAGAGGGCCATACTCAGCTGCATTGGGAGTGTTAGTTCAACGTGACGCCACAGAGGGCGCCATCAGCAGTACATCGCCAATTCAATCTTCGAGTTCGTCGATAGCAGCCGGGAGTTGAAGTTCAAAGTGACGCCGAAGGAGGGCGCCACGAGTACACTACTAGTTCAACCTGGGTTTGTGTGAGTGAAGTGCAAACGTGAGTACAATTTAATTAAATACCATAGTAGCAGAGACATTTAATATAACTTGATTGGTGACAAGTACTGTAGACATTATTTGCCAAGCAATTTTAAACTTTATTTCTAAGAAGATTTTAACTTTAAAATTGTGCATGTTAGATTAAGGACTTAGAATAAGTTTTATAAAAACGGAGGAACGGGGAACCTATGTCCGATTTCTACCAGAGTGTATTTATTTATAAACACTTGTAAAATTTTTCGTTGTTTTTGAGACTTAGAAAAAATCGCAAACTTTTGTCTAGTAAAGAAACTTGTAAAGTTATACATTTCAATTGAGGTTGTTCTGTTACCAAGTTAATATTGTGTTAACATTTAGATTGATAAATTTATCTTCACATAAATAATTAAATTATACTTTTGTTTGATATTAATTAATCAATTCTATAACTATCTTTTACCATCATTTTGTTTGTTGTTTACGATGGAAGGACAAATTAATATATTAAAAGACCTTCAACAAGTAATTCAAAAAGCCTTTACTAATTTTAAAAAGTGTCCAAAGGATAGACTTACAGTAGAATATATACAAACAAGGCTTGAATTATTAGAAAATGATTGGTCTTTGTTTAAAAATACTAAATCTCAACTTTATGGTCGGTTTAAGTTAGAAGACATAGGTCAAAAGGTTGTCGATATATATGACACAACCGAAGATACTTACATATCATGTAAATGTTTAATGAAATCAACGTTAAATAGTGTAAGAGAACCGCTACCACAAGACAGTGGATGTAGTAATAATTCTTCTAAGCAATCTAATTCATTTGTAAAGTTGCCCAAGATAACAATTTCTACCTTTTCTGGCAAGTACAGTGAATGGACATCTTTTCACGATCTTTTTATTTCACTTGTACACAATAATGCATCTTTAGATAATGTGCAAAAACTGCACTATCTTAAAAGCCACCTCACTGGTGAAGCCGAACAGTTGATTAGGCACACACCAATCACAGATGCCAATTACCGCGAATGTTGGTCTCAGTTAGAAAAGCGTTATGCAAATAAAAAGTATTTAACCAGTTGTATTTTAAAAATATTGTTCGGTCAGAAACGCTTACATGTGGAATCGGCTAACTCATTAAAGGAGCTGCATTTAAACAGTCGCTCGTGGTATCACGAGCGACTGTTTAAATGCATTGAAAAATTTGAAAATCGATGTAAGTACATGGGACGTTATTGTTATCCATATAGTGACGTTCAAATTAGATAATGAAACACGAAAGCAGTGGGAGTTAAGTGTTTCTAATGACTCCAGCAACGAGTTGCCCACCTTTGAGCAGTTTCGGATATTTATTGAAAGTCGTTTTCGCGCTTTAGAATGTATAGAGCCGAGGAAGGCTGTGGCTCACCAGATCAATAATAGTTCTCACGTTCTTAGTTCGAAAGCAATGCTGGCCACAAAGTCGTCGAATATTCGTTGCGAATTTTGCTCAGAACTTCACAAGCTCTGTTTTTGTAAGCAATTTGCAAAACAGTCCATAGAAAACAGACTAGAGTTCGTAGCAAAAAAATAAAATATGTTTTAATGTTTTATAACAGAGGCCACTGTCCAATTTCTTAGGCTTAAGAAAATTCCAGTCCGAGGTCACGTTTCAGGTTTAGGAGATAATAAGTCAACCATTGCTAATTATATGGTAAATTTAATTATTAAATCCACGGTTGATCTTGATTTTCAACTTCAAATAAATGCTTACGTCTTGAGTAAGATTACATCATACTTACCTGAGAGAAGTGTGAATACCAGTTCATTGGATTGGATTGATATCAACGGTCTTTGTTTGGCAGATCCTTATTTCAAAACACCTAATAAAATAGACATTCTTTTGGGTGCAGATGCTTACTGTTGCATTATGAAGGAAGGTGTAGTAAAGAGTCCGTCTGGTACTCTAATAGCGCAGAACACCACCTTAGGGTGGATCCTTTCCGGTGTAGTCAGTTCAAGCAATGAGAGTTCAAAACACCACACAAGAAATTTAAGTGTGCACTGTACACAGTTCAATGAAGACAATATTCTAAAGCAATTCTGGGAGATAGAAGAACAAGTTAGTACAAGGAAATTACTTAACCCAGAAGAGCAAAAATGTGAAGAATTTTATATGAAAACTACTAAGAGGGATGATACAGGCAGATACATTGTACGTTTACCATTTCGAGACGAAGATCCTGCATGCAAGGCCGGAAGTTCCCGTGACATAGCTGAAACAAGATTCAAATCGTTAGAAAAAAGATTAAATAAGGACACATATTTAAAGGAAAAATATACAGAGATAATTAATGAATACTTACAATTAGGACACATGAGACCTGTAAAGGAAGAGGATAATAAGAAAGATGAAGCAGTTTACTTACCACACCACGCGGTGATTAGAAACGATAAGACCACCACGAAGGTACGTGTAGTTTTCAACGCCTCTGAGAAAAATAAAAAAGGAGTTTCACTCAATGACACTTTAATGGTTGGACCAACGCTGCAAGCAGACTTAAGACACACCATTCTTAGATGGAGAGTACACGCTATTGGTATTGTGGCGGATATAATCAAAATGTACCGCCAAGTCAGAATAGCGGATGAAGATGCTGTCTTCCAGAGGATACTTTGGCGAGAAAGCCCTGAAAAGCCACTTAGGGATTATGAGTTGGTAACGGTGACCTTTGGAACAGCTTCTGCACCATATCAGGCAGTTAGGTCACTCCATCAGGTTGCGTACGACGAAGGAGATAAGTACCCGCTAGCAGCAGATAGAGTTTTAAACTCTTTTTATATGGACGATTTAATGATGGGAAGTAATAGCGTCGAAGAGGGCGTTGAAATCTGTAAACAGATGGTAGCATTATTAGGAAAGGGAGGATTCGCATTGCAGAAGTGGAACAGTAACAATCGGCAACTATTAGATAGAATAAGTTCAATATATACAAATGAAGTAGTACAGCAAACAGGTCAAATAAAAATTAAAAATGAGAACACTGAAAATAAGGACAAAGAGGACATAGGAGTTAAGGAAAAGGAAATAGATAATAAGGAAATAGAAATTAAGCTAAATAGTACAATAAAAATTTTGGGACTTACCTGGAACCGCCACGAAGATTGCTTTCAGTACTCGGTAAATCTTCCACCGCTGACGACAGCACCTGTAACAAAAAGACTAATAATATCAGATATAGCTCGTTTGTTCGACCCATTGGGATGGTTAGCTCCTAGTGTCGTATTAGCAAAGATGTTCATACAAAAATTATGGCTCTTAGGTGTATGTTGGGATGAGGAATTAACTACCGAAGTAATAACAGAGTGGAGTACTTACCGCGAAGAGTTGTCATTACTAACCAAAGTTCAGGTACCTCGTTGGCTTGGTACTAGTTCATCTGATGACCTTGAATTGCACGGTTTTAGTGACGCCTCTAAAGCAGCGTACTCAGCCGTCGTTTACTTAAGAACAATTGATGTCTCAGGCAAAATTCATCTGTCGTTGTTAGTGGCTAAAACGAGAGTAGCTCCCATCAAACAAATTAGTATTCCTCGATTGGAGCTATGTGGTGCTGTACTTGTATCAAAGTTATTGATAGAGACAGCAGAGATTTTAAATATTTCAAAGGAAAAGATCTTTGCATGGACTGATTCTACAGTAGTGCTATCGTGGCTTAATAGTCACCCTAGCAGGTGGAAAACGTTTGTTGCCAACAGGACTTCAGAAATTTTGGGCGCTTTGAATTCATCTCAATGGTTTCATGTGCCGACCAAAGAGAACCCAGCTGACTGCGCATCAAGAGGAATACTACCCAGTTCATTAGTCGGTAATGAGTTATGGTTTTCAGGACCATCATTTCTGAAAAATAAATTAATTGAGTACAAGAGGCCAAAGAATCTAAAGACAGATTTAGAACAAACTATAAAGGCGCACACAGCTGTAGTTCCAGAGCACGTAGTTTTCGAAAATTATTCCAGTCTAAGAAAATTAGTTAAAGTTATTGCGTATTGTCGAAGAGTTTTAAAAAAGGAAAAACACGATAGTAAATATTTGAAAGATCACGAAATAGAAGCAGCATTACAAACTTGTATAAGGAAATCACAAATAGATTCATTCACAACAGAATATGAACAATTAAAGGAAAAGGGGTATTTGAATATAAAATCAAGTAAATTGAAATCACTTTGTCCTTTTCTCGACAAGAATGGTATCATGCGAATTCGTGGACGACTTGAAAAGTCTGAACTAGATGAGCAAGTAAAACATCCGATAGTTCTACCACATTCATGCCATTTGACTCTTCTTATAGTTGCAGACGCGCATGAGAAGACATTGCATGGTGGTCCTCAGTTAATGGCAAACTATTTAAGGTCAGCCTATTGGGTAATAGGTGCTAGATCTCTAGTTCAACAATATGTTCGCAAGTGTGTAACTTGTGCGAAACAGAGAGCTAGTGTTAGAAACCAACTGATGGGTGCGCTCCCATCGGTTCGATGTACACCAGCAAGACCATTTTTATATAGCGGAGTGGATTATGCTGGACCCATAAGTATAAGAACCACTAAAGGACGTGGGCATCGTTCTTATAAGGGCTACATATGCCTTTTCGTTTGCATGTCCACTCGTGCTATTCACCTAGAGGTCGTCAGTGACATGAGCACACAGGCATTTTTAGCCGCTTTTCGACGTTTTGTGTCGCGACGAGGTCACTGTGCTAAATTGTGGAGCGACAACGGCTCCAACTTTGTAGGCGCCTCCAGAGAACTGCAACAGTTGGCATCTATTCAGCCAGCCATAGCAGAATATCTGGAAGCAAACAACACCGAGTGGCATTTCATTCCGCCTCATGCTCCCAATTTCGGTGGTCTTTGGGAAGCGGGTGTAAAATCCACCAAATTTCACCTTAAAAGGGTTATTGGCGACTCTACCCTAACGTACGAGGAAATGACTACATTCCTCAATCAAGTGGAAGCCTGTCTGAATTCGCGGCCGATAAGCGTTATTAACTTTACTGATCCTGGTGAGCCCCTCCCTTTAACTCCTGGACATTTTTTAATAGGAGAACCGATAATTAATGTACCAGATAAAAATTACAAAAGTTCAAACGTAAGCTATTTAACTAGGTGGCAATTTGTGCAAAGGATGCTGCAGTCTTTTTGGAAACGATGGTCACAGGAATATCTGTCAAAGCTCATGAATAGGTACAAATGGGCGTCACAAGTTCCGGAACCTAATGTTGGTGACGTTGTTTTAATTAAAGAAGATGATTTGCCTCCAAGTCGTTGGTTATTGGGTAGAGTTATAGAGAAACACCCCGGTGATGATAACGTTACCCGTGTAGTCACATTGCGTACGAAAACATCCGTAATTAAGAGGCCAACATCAAAATTATGTATTCTGCCTATCTCGGATCCATGAATTGGTCAATTTTTATGTCAAATTTATGTAAAAATATTATTGTATCAAATGTTCTTTTACTTTTACGATCAAATGTAGCTATATGTACAACATTAATTACATTTATAGGTTTAATTTTACAATGTTACTTTTCAAAATTTTATTTTAGGTTATTTTAAGCTGTTGAAGTCTTTATTTTTATTTGTAAGTTTTTAGGTCATACTTTATGAGATTAAATTATAGAAGTGTGTTATAAAGTATTAAGTGCAAATTTTAGATTTAAGTTCAAATTTTAAATTTAAGTGCAAATTTTAGATTTAAGTGCAAATTTTAGACTTAAGTACAATTTAAAAGGCCATTCCGTCACTAAATGTCCTTGGTGGGCGGTATGTTAATGAAGAAACCACATTTGTAATTAAAAAAGTTTTAGTTCTACTTCGATAGATGGCGTTGACATAGAAATAGATTGAACTATGGTTGCGTTACTCAGTGTGTAATAAGGCCATTTAAATTATTGTATATAATAATAAACCAGCTCAGATCATACATTGTTGTAGTTTGATTTATATATTATCAACTCTTCAAGTGTATCAATAGGACAAACAGTACAACTAGCTTGCTAGTAAAAACTAAGTACAACAAAACAACAAAAGTAGAGCCAGAAAACAATATATTTAAATTTTTAAAAGGTATTTACAATTTTATAAAAAATATGAAATGAGGATGATGATGAATGAAGTGAGAGTACAATTAGATTACAAAAAAAATAAAGGTAGGAGAATAGGGGAATATAGAGTTGTAGTGGAGCCTAAAAGTCGAAGCGACACACGTTGCGATTGTAGAGGTAGGTTTCTTAGCAGCGACGGCACGCAGCGCCTGAAGCCAGCACACGCCGGTTGCGCTTGTAGAGGTAGGTTTTTTAGCAGTGACGGCGCGCAGCGCCTGGAGCCAACACACGCAGCGTCCGGAGCCGGCGCACGTAGCGCCTGGAGAAGGGGCGCTCAACGCTTAGAGCCAGCAGTTGCAGCGCCCAAAGGTAGCGCCGGCGGTAGGTGCACTCGGCGCCTGGAGTAAGCAGTCGTAGCGCCCGGAGTAGTGTGGCCCCCGCGCTTGAAGTAGACTGCCGACGACTTCCGAGGTAGATGGAGGCTTGTAGGATTCCGGAGTGGTGCGGCTCCGCGCTTGAAGAAGGCTTCGCCGAAGACTTCACGTGTAGGTGGAGGCTTGCAGGATCCCGGGGCAGTGCGGCCCCGGGATAAGGCCTTTAGGAGATACTTCCAATTCGCGAACTGAAGCGAGACTGCCTTTCTTCACCGATTGTTCGGCTTTTATACCTTTCTAGAGAGAACGGAAAAATTATTTAAATTAAACGCAAATTTTTTGTAAATGGTCAAGAGAAAAGAGTATTTATGTGGAACTATCGAAATAGGAACAACAGATCGGTAGCAAATTTGAATATAATTACTATGGAAACGAAATAAATAGCAATGTCAAAACATGTCAAATTTTGGTTTTAGGTTTATAATAAGAAAACGGTAAGATTTAAGTGGAAAATGAGATATTATTGATATAGGAAAAAAGGTAGCGCAGCTGCCCACACAAAGCCCGAGATAGTAGAGTTACGGGAAAACTAGCTAAAAGATCGAAAAAAGGTAGACTCCATTGACACCAATTTAAAAGTGCTGATAATGTGAAAATACGAAGTAGAAATGATTTGTTATTGTGTTCTTATGGTTTAAAATCGTTACAGGATCCTATGGAAATAAAGGTGATGTAAAATATCCAGTTTTGAGGTGAATGCAGAAAATCGAAACAGAATGGAAAAATGAATTTAAAATAATTTAAAATGATATGTAAGTAGCATAACACTACAACTGGTAATATGTTGCTATTATTTAAGCAGAGTTTTTATGTAACATAAACATAAACATAAACATTCACACCTGTCACCCAGAGGGGTAGGCAGAGATTATGGACTTCCATTTGGCACGATCCTGACACACCTCCTTAATGACGGCATTTCTACAGCATTTATTCTACTCTCATGCTTCTTCTGCCACACCCACCTTTCACTACCATACATTAAAGTAGGTACTAACACAGCATTGTGAATTGCCATACGTGCCTTTTTAGACACATTCTGACTTTTCACAATATTTCACAATATTAATAGTTTTTATGTAATATTATGATAATGCTATTTCATGCTGGTATACTGCGCGAGTGTAGCCAACTCATTCCCATATCACATAGGTTTTAAGTTTCTTATTTGGATATTTTTATTTTTTGTTTTTATATAATTATGTATGTCATAAACATTGCAAAGCGTAGAGTTGATCTCCTGTATTTCATATAAAAATGATGTGTCAACATATTTAGGATAACAATCTGGCACAAAACTGTTATATTTATATTATATTGTAATGTATTTTGATTGTTATCTGTTTTGTTGTCCATATAATAAATAAATAAATAAAAAAAATCCGACACATTCGCGCTGCAGTCACTTAATCATTTTCAAATGTCGCAGTGTTTGTTAGGTACTTATGAGTACATGATACATATTACTTACGACTTTCTACATATCGGTCGTGTTGTTTAGTTAATAGGTAATAATGTTACTTGCACGTATACGAATGATGCTTTTATATTTTGTAAGCAGCTAACAAATTACAATATTTTTATGCCCTGTCTTGAGTAAAATCGACAATAACAATTAGCAATAATCTTAGAAGTTAAATATTTAACTCAGCAGGCAAGCCAGGAACTAGATTTCGCTGTAAATATTTACGATACGGTAACCAGAATTTGATCCCCGCCAGCACGGCTAAAATTTCAATTGAAATTTTAAGCGACAACGTGATCGGTTGTACAGAAAACATCGTAAGAAAATTTAATTACTGAGAATTAAAACATTTGGAGAATACGAAACGTCCGCTCACAAACTCTATCACTGCATAGGAATAATTGCTACTTAATCTTTTTAGAAATTAAAGAATCTACGTCCCAAATATGGGAATTATTTATTTATTTATTTAACAATTTATGTACACACAAAACAATGTTACAAGGAAGAGAAAAAAAAAGATATTTTGTACAAAGGCACTGCTTATTTCATATTGAAATTTCTTCCAGCAGGCCTGATACTGGACAAATTAAAAGAGAAGCTGATCTAGTTTGCACTCTAATACTAAAACTTTATAATATTAATATACTTAACATAAAGTAAAGATAATAAAAACAAATATCCATGTAAACATACATATAACTAAATACCACTTATAATACATATACACATATACATATATATATATATATATATATATATATATATATATATATATATATATATATATAAAAATTAATTAAAATTAATGACATAGGTTTTAAAGTAAAAAAGGTTCCTGTCTATTACATCCTACTGCTAAACACATATCTCTTTTTTTAAGACGGTTACTACGGCGACAATTTCTGAACAATCGAAATATATCAAAAGTGCAGAAGATATTTTAGTGCACGGAAAATAACAAATGACAAATGCGTTCATGCATCCTCACCATCAATTGTTAAATAAATTTTTGTTATTTATATTTAAAATATAACTAACAATATTTATTTACACTAAACGAAAAAAAACAACTAAATGTAATGAAGCTCCCTACACTATTTTTTTTCTTTATCACCTCGTTATAGGTTAAGTACTATTTTTTATAGAATAGGGCGATAAACGAGCACAAAGTCCACCTGATGGTAAATGGTTGCTGTGGCCCATAGACATCTACATCTATCCTCGTTTGCGAGTCAAATTGCAGATGCATTGTCACCCATGAGGACTAAGATGGAATGCCTCTTTTCCAGTAAAAAGAGGCTCCGGTTCTCCACACTCACCAACGAATCACAGCAGTGTTAAACTGCTATTTTACGCTGGTATTCTGTGAGAGCGTGCTCCTTCCCCGGTCGAGCCGACTCATTAGTACTACAACTATACCACTAATATAGCTGCAGAATGGCTCTATCACAATATAAAGGTTCTTCGTGATTGTCACGCTCGGCAGGCAGATTGACTATCATGGCACGAAATCTCCCATTTTAGACGCTGCTCCATGTTCTCTTTCTGAGTGTTGCTTGTGATATGAACGTAATGGTTATACCAAAAACCATAAGATCTTTCTGGTGTTTCCCGTATTTGATTCACGACATGTATCCCATGAGTGATTGATTTCGCTACAATTCCTTCACTCCGCACTGGTTAATGCTATCACATAAATACGATCAAATCATATCAAATCAAATTGTTTATTGACACAAATAACTAAATTTATCATATTAGTCAAAATCATGTCACATCAAATTTGATTTGTATCAATATACAATTTAATTGAATTTTCCTGTTATATAATGGAAGTGACAAACGAAATTATAGTCCACCTTATAGGAAATAGATACTGTAACCCATTGACACCTGAACAAACTTCCAACATTCATTGTTTGGCTAAATTCAAAGAAGACAAAGGAACCTTTAAGAAAAGCTTACTCATTCTTAAAAGGCCGACAATATACCTAAAATGTTCCTGATTTTGCAGTTGTTCGTGGGCGGTGGTAGAAACTTACTATCAGATGAACATGCTCATTTGAACAATCTTCTATAAATATGCGTTGTCACCTCTTAACACTAAGATGGAATGCTACTATTCCTGTACTTACACTGGCACTTTTTTCCAGAATATAGCAGTGCACGCATTGCAGCTTGGCAAGACAAATAGGTTTTTTTAGTATAAGGGTGACAAACGAGCACACATTTCACCTGATGGGTACGTGGATGCTGCGGTTCATAGACATCTACATTTATTCTCGATTAAGAATCAAAATGCAGATTCATTGTCATCCCTGAATACTAACATGGAATGCCTCGTATCCAGTAAAAATGGTTGCCAGGTCTCTCACTTTCACCATACGAAACACAGCAGCATTTAGCTGCTATTTTACGCTGGTTTTCTGTGAGAGCGTGGTTCTTTTCCCGGTCGAGTCGACTAATTCGTGCTACAGCCATAATATAGCTGCAGTTTGGCTCTACCGCGTATAAGGTGGAACCTAAACAGTCCAACTACTAAAGGATATTCTGAAAAAAGTAGTCCTATCACCTAGAAAATTATTCTTTTGAACATACTACTATACTATTCATATTCTGTATTCTGTATGGATGAATAATTCATCTTCATCTTTGTTTTCTAATATTTTGCAAATCAAATTCGTCTTAAATTATATAAATGATCTACAGTAAATAAATCCCAAACGAGAAGTCGAGGAGAAATACGGGCCATACACGTTTATTGCAAATTGAAACACATATTAAATTTGAATTCCAGAGTACCTTGATATTGTGCTTAACCTTAATCATGATTCAATTTCTTGAGATTTCAAATTCAAATATTTTAACATACGAGTACCTACTATGAAATGTTTTATTTATGTAACTTCTATAAACATTGTATTTTAATTATCAATTGTATTATTATAATTATTATTTATTATTATTACTGCAA